TAACATGTCATTCCTCTGGGTTATATTTCGAATCTCCCCCTCTTTTCAAAATATCTAAAACAACTTCTAAAACAAAGGAGCTTGGACACCAGTAAATGATAATTTATCACGTTGTCCTCTCATCTCTTCATCCCTCTCTCTTCATAATTGGCTAGACAAGCCTTTTTCCTAAATAGGAAACACCTATAGAAATCCTTGGGAAACCCTAAGAAAATCAAAGAAAATGTCAAGTTTAAGAATTTGAAATTATGAAAACCCCTGAAGTTAAGTGGCATGGCCAGAAAATCCAACTCGAGTTTCAAGTTTGTGTAACTCACAGACATCTCACGCCAAAAACCCTAGGATGAAAATTCCCTAGGTGGGTGAGCTCGAGAGCGCAATGAATTGAATGGATTAGTTAGTACGTCCTCTGACCACGTGATGTCAGGACGAAATTTAACATGTCTACATTATTTTGTCGTTCACATGCACCTCGAAGGACAGATAACACCACCATCTTGTCGCTTACCTGCCCCTCGAAAGATAGGGAACGCCAAATTGTCTACTTCTTTGCCACTCACCTGTCTCTCAAAGGATAGGGAGTGCCAAAGAGGGGCAACTGTAGACACCCCATTTAAAATCTGACAAGTTCTGTGGTTTTCCTGAACCTTTAGAACTACATGATCCTAGTAAATCTCCCAAACTATAATCCACACTGCCTACACAATGATCTAGAACCATTCTGCCTATCCTGTAATCAAGAATCCTGCAGATACCCTGTTTTCACCCAGAATCTGGTAGGCGCCTTGTTTTACCAAACAAATCACCAAAAATAGTAAAATAACTCTTTGAGAGCTTCACAACAACCTGAACTACAAACTTGACCAAAGAAAATTTAGTTTCAAACACTTTTGGTCTGTGCGACACTGGCAGTGTCGCCCAACCCAGTTAGTGTGGGCGATGCCACCAGTGTCACCCAATCCATTTTGACACGAAATCGTCAAGTTTTGGCAGGTCTGCCCAGGGATCAGTGCTGAACAAGAATCTGCCATTTTGAGTAGTTCTAGGTGGGTGATTTCCAGTGTCGCCCGACCTAGACAAGTCCAAATTGGACGATTTTTGGTAGACAACACCTTGACAACCCTAAAGTTTGCCATGAACATGAAATTTCTGTTTTTGAGTAGTCCTGACTAGTGTAGCTCAGACCAGACTGCTCAAAAACGGCAGTTTCTGCCTTCTAGAGGTTCTGTAGCTGTGTGGGCCAAGTTACTCGAAATTTGGCCTAGTTTGACAGTGTCGCCCAGACTCGGGACTCCCGGAATAGCAGTTTGGGGGTGGCATTTTGCTGGTGATGGTAAGTTGCTCTTTTCAGTTGATCCCCTATCTATATAATCGAATTTTCGTGCTTTTGTGAGGGAGGTCAGAAAAGAATTTGTTCAGAAAAACTCTAGCTTGGAGATCCTGACTAAAACCCTAAACCTGAGAAGCCTAAACCTAAGAAACCCTAATTCTTCAGCTCTCCTTAGGGAAGAAACCCTTTTCAATCAAACTAAGGTCTGGTCAACACATCCATTCAACTAGGCTAACTCTTGGTCAACATATGGAGAAAGAGAGGCAAAGAGGACACCGGTTTCGATACAGGCGAGCCCTCGAAGGCTCGGGAGCCTCGGGGCACTTGGCCCGATTTGTTATAATTCTTTACTCTTATTTGCTTCCTTTTTTTGCTTTATTTCATTTTAATTAAATTAGGCTAACTTTATTGCTTCTTTATAGTGTTTTAAAGTTCGGATCATGCTGGCGCTGCTACTGATTTGAGAGCAGGTCTGCTTGTCTCTGAGCAGATTTGGTCTCAGATCAAAATTCGATTTTTCCTACTTTCTCTATCATCTTTTAAAAATCAGTTTGTGGTGATCAGATCTGAGGGATCTTCCTCTAAAGGTCTCCCCCATTTGCACGGCAAACAATACTCGACATTCAATTAATTTTTTTTGAACTTGATACACCCAAACTATCCAATTTGACATCCAATGAGTAAGAATTATGACCTCATGAACAAATAAATGGTCTTATAATATACAAATTAATATTCCTAACAAAAAAGAAAGGGTGCAGTTTGTATAAAGCCGAGGCTCTAAACAATCAAAGTAAAGCGTACCTTTAAATAATGTTGAGAAATGTAGTTTCAATACTGGAAAACTTTGCCATAGCCTTCAAATATATTTTCATATTTAATTATAAAATTTAAAGCTTTAAAAATAGTGTAGATCGAGTTGATCTATGAAAACTTAATAATCTTGAAAATTGACGGTCCAAAAATGTGTTACAAGATGTACTATTTTCAAAACTTGAAATCCATTATTTTTCTCATGTCCATGTATCTTGATGTCGAGATGATCAATTTGATATATTTGAGCATTAAAATAACCTCTTCTAGTGAAAATTTTGGTATGGGCTCTATTTGATCGTTTAGAACCTTGACACTATATAAACGTTTTTCAAAAAGAAAATCCCTTGGCGCCATCTTTCTTTTCTTTTGTAAAAGAAGACTGTTACCTCTTGACGCACAAACGTTCCAAATGCCCGATTTGACGTATGACGCACAAACGTTCCAAATGCTCGATTTGACGCATGAAGGTTTGAGATGACTCTTGATCAGTTGTTTAAAAATCGTCAATCCGATCCGAAATTGGGCAATTCAAATCAGATATAAGCTATGCCGTTCCTGTTCAAATAAAAAAAACGAGATCCGACCCATCTGTACACCATCATCCCCAAATTGACGTTGGGAACCATGATTGATAAGTTTATGTCAGCAACACACGTCCATGCATGTGGCCCTAGCATCAACCTGCTTGCTATGTTGTGCTTTCCAAATGCCCGATTTGACGTATGACGCACAAACGTTCCAAATGCTCGATTTGACGCATGAAGGTTTGAGATGACTCTTGATCAGTTGTTTAAAAATCGTTTGAGATGACTCTTGATCAGTTGTTTAAAAATCGTCAATCCGATCCGAAATTGGGCAATTCAAATCAGATATAAGCTATGCCGTTCCTGTTAAAATAAAAAAAACAAGATGACAAGATTCGACCCATCTGTACACCATCATCCCCAAATTGACGTTGGGAACCATAATTGATAAGTTTATGTCAGCAACACACGTCCATGCATGTGGCCCAATTTGGGAACCATAATTGATAAGTTTATGTCAGCAACACACGTCCATGCATGTGGCCCAATTTGGGAACCATAATTGATAAGTTTATGTCAGCAACACACGTCCATGCATGTGGCCCAATTTGGGAACCATAATTGATAAGTTTATGTCAGCAACACACGTCCATGCATGTGGCCCAATTTGGGAACCATAATTGATAAGTTTATGTCAGCAACACACGTCCATGCATGTGGCCCTAGCATCAACCTGTTTGCTATGTTGTGCTTTGCAATTGCTTATATACGTTCACTTTGTACCACATCACTTCGATGTGGGACTATTTCTATAGCCCAACGTTGCTGCAAAAGCATGCACTTTATTTTAAACAATGGTTAAAATTTGTTCCAAATTATATATAGTGTTTGTATTAAGTAAGGATACGTGGGTCTATAAATAAATCTTTCTCTCTCTTATAAGGACAAATGAAATGGTCTATAGTTATTTTTAAGATTAATTATATTTATTTATTTTTAATATTTAATCTTTTTAATATTATATTTATTTATTTTTAATATTCAATCTTTTTAAGATTAATTATATTTATTTATTTTTAATATTTAATCTTTTTAATATTATATTTATTTATTTTTAATATTTAATCTTTTTAAGATTAATTATTTTATTTTTATTTTTATAATATACATACATAAAGTACATTTAATTAATCTTTAATTGTATATAATTACAAAAATAAAATTTCATATAATAATTTACAAAAATTAACATAATTATATGAAATTATTTTACTAGATCATAGGATATTAAAAGAAACAAAAAATAATACTAATACTGGTTTATATATCATTAAAAAAATACTAGTTTATGATATATTTTAAGAACGAAAAATAACATTAGCTCAAACCGCCTAAAATTTATTTCAAGTTACTTTATTAATTATCTCACATTACAAATATAAATTTCTTTATTTATTTTCCTAATTTTATTAAAAGACGATTGTAAATTTATGTTACTAAATTCTATATTTATATTAACACTAATTATTATACATTATATTTATTTATTTGTGAGGGTCATACCCTTGTTTTTTAATCATATTTATTATAATATTGCAACTAATAATTATACTAATTACAATGATAATCAAATCTTGTATTTAATACATCAATTTATTTACATTAGAAATTATGTAATATATATTTTTTTGTTGTAGTTGTAAATTAGATTTTTAAATTAGATGATATTATAAGATGAATTTGAAATTTATTATTATTTGTATAATAAAATGATGATAAAATAATAAAATACAAATCAATAATTCTAATTTCAATGTATAATATTGTATTTATTTAGTTTTAATAAATATTTGATAAGAATCTTCATACAAGAAAAGAACATCTCAATATTCGTATATTGATGCGACAAAATAAAAAGTTATTAATGTAGTACTCTCATTTCTTATTGGATTCTTATAAAACAATATTTATAATGATTTTTAATAATCTTTTTAAAATTTTTTAAGGCTGAATTCGATCAATTCGAAATTTTGGTGGCCATTTTTTCATCGTTTTAATCCATTCTTATTGTAGTCCATGTATGATTATATACTTTATCCATAATAATTCTATAATTTTTTCTTTTGTGTGATGTAAATTTAATGGTTAACATAAGTTCATACAGGGAAATAACATTCTAATATTCACATATTTATGAAAAAAATGAAAGTTAATAATGTAATACCTTTATTTCTTATTAAATTTTTAAAAACCAATATCTATAATAAATTTTAATAAATTTTTTAGGTTTTTTAAAGCTTAAACCTTCCGATTCGGTTGATTTTCGATATGGATCACCTCTTCATCGTTCCGTTTTTGGGGTGCCGAAGTCACTGATCCGTTTTTTAAACCTCTGCGAGCCTAGTGAAAAGTTCTGGTAAATTGAGCTCGAGAGAAAATAATGGAACCAGCAGCCTCAGAGCCTACCTCTTCGAAGCTTCCAATGAACTCAGAGACTGCTTTACGCCTTGTTAAAAATGGTGGAACCATACTCATGCTTGATGTCCCTCGGTTCACTCTCATTGGGATCGACACTCAGGTCTCGCTGGTTTCTCTTTTTCTTCTCTTGTTGTTTATTCCTTTTCTTTTTTGTTCCGTTTCGATGTCCCTGCTGCAATTTAGGGTTTGCATATGCGGTTGAATTTAGAAGGCTCTGGTTTATTGGGTTAATCTGTATGAGTTTGTGGTTGATTTTAAGTATAGGTAGTTCATTGTTGAATCTTCTTTGTCATGTTTCTCCTCGTTTCTTTTTTTTTTTGAATAATCCGTGACCAACTTTATCTTAAATGTTTTCAATCATTGAATCACAGAAAAGTTATTGCCATGGAAGTTCACGCTTCATGGGTAAAACCGGTTATAAAATGGATTTCGCATTACTTTTCATTGACCTTAAATCCGCAACCATAAACCCTAGTAGTCTAAGAGGCCTCAAAACAGTTATGGCTTCTCTTGCACTACTAAGTGTCTCAAACTCTCTTTGCTCTGCCCTCATACTTCCTCAACATAAACTCATGCAACAATCCCCCCCTTCTATACTCAAGTACGTAACAGCCATGAATTAATTATGATATATGTGATCCCATGCTTTTAGGAGAGTGCTTATTTTCTCTGGAGTAATATCTTCAGGAGTTCCTATTATGTGGGGTTGAACTCTTATGTATTTGGGATAGAGAGGACTTCAGGTGGGCGCCTTGTTTCTTTAGATAAAGTTTGTTATACTGTGATAATACTGAAAAATATATGGATGTAGAGAGGATACATGTGTGGGAATATAGTGAGGTTTTTTGGTAGCCTTTGCATGGGATTTATAGGGAGAGACTTTGTTTTAGGGCTTGTGAGCTAGAGTTTGTAAATCCTTGTATTCTTCATTCTCATATGATGTTTTTTTTATTAGTTTAATAGAAAAGTTTGTTGTTGCATGAATGTAGAAAATGCCGAACCATGTTAGTCTCTGTGTTTTGCTTTTTCTATTTTCTACACAATTTATATTTTGCTTTTATTCTACCAAAACTTGGTTGTTATCCTCTACAATTGGTATTATAGCCTTAGGGTTGGAAATCCTTGTGGGTGAGAGCTTTTGTGGTAGATTGCAAATCTTTGAAATGGAAAAGTTCAACCAAATTGAAATCCCAAAGGTTGATGGTTCGAACATTTCTAAAGTGAGGTGTTGGGGTTTTGTAAACACAGGCGATCTGAATAAAGATGGCAAGGTACAAAATAGAAATTAGGAAGCCCTTAAATTTGACTCGAATGAGAAGCCTAATTCATGTGAGTCTTAAGGAAATTTAGTAGTAAATACTGGTTTTTTTTGAAGATGAGGAAATTTTGTCTTTGGATGAAGGTAAAAGTTAGATGAAAGTTTACAGTATGTGATACTTGATTTGGGAGAATCGTTTCACATGAATCATCATTGTCGTCAAAGCTTTTTCCCAACTAATTGGGATTGACATGAATCCTGTTCCGCCATTTTGCTTTATTAAGGGCCATACCCTTAGTGAAGTCATAAGTCCCCATATATTTTCTCACTATTTTTAACCATGTCCTTTTGGGTCTACCCCTTGCCCTTTTTGAGCCTTCCACTTGAACTAACTCGCACCTATTAACAGGTGTTGTACTGAGTCTGTGACACACATGGCCAACCCACCTAAGTTTACTCTCTCTCATCGTATCGCCTATGAGTGCTACATCTAAATTTTCCCAAATATATTTATTTCGAATGCTATCCCTTCTCGTCTTGCCATTCATCCATCTCAATATCCTCATCTTCGCTACACTCATTTTATGGGTAATATTGATTTTTGATCACCCAACATTCCAACTCCATTGAGGTGGTCACACAACTATCCTATAAAACTTGCTCTTCAGCTTCATTGGTATATGGCGATCACATAAAATTTCGGTTGCGCATCTCCGCTTCGCGTACCCAACTGTAATTCTATGTGTGACATGTTCCCCAATCTCTCCATTTTCCTGGATTATCAACCCAAGATATCAAAAGTGCGCTCTTTTTGGTATTTCCTAGCCGTCAATCTTACTTACTTCCTCGTCTCTAATCCTATTATTACTTAACTTGTATTCCATATCCTCTGTCTTAGTGTGACTAATTTTAAAACTTTTAGATTTTAGAGCATCCCTCCAAATTTCTAACTTTGTGTTGGCACCTTTTTGGGTCTCATCGATCAAAACTGTCATATGCGAACAACATGCTCCATGGTACCTCATCTTGTAGGTGCCTAGTTAAGCCATCCATAACTAAGAAAAAGGGGTATGGGTTCAATGCTGACCACTGATATAGATCTATTTTCACTAAAAATTCATTCGTCTCTCTACATAGTCTTTGTTACACTAGTTAGTGTCCCATTGCACATATCTCTCACCAAGTCGATGTAGTGTCTGGAGACTCCTTTCTTTTCCAACACCCACCAAATCAAATCTCGAGCCCAAATCAAATGTTTAGATCCTTTCCGATAAATCCACGGTTTAAAAACCTCCTAATTTAAATTTTTGTGAGTTATACTTGTTTGGTGAATAAAATAAATTACAGTTGCTATTGAACACTAAGAGTAAGGCTTACGATAGTTCATTCTCACTTAGACACATGGAAATCACTTGTCTTTATTGGGTTGTTGCATGCCTTCACCTTTATTAATGATTTTTGGAAAAAATGCTAAAAAGAGATCTAGATGCCTTCATCTGTTTTAGAAATTTAAAGCCTTTGTAGAAAATAAAAAATTCTCTTGCATCAAGTGTTTAATAACTAATAATGTGGTTTTGGTGAATTTAATAATTTTTGTAATGTGCATGACATTGCGAGGCAGATGAAAGTACACCTCGGCATAATGGGGTTGATGAAAGAATGAATCACACTAACATTGAGCATGTTAGGTGTATGTTGAGTACTGCTGGATTGAAACTGTTCTTCTGGGGCAAAAGCAGTACTACACAGACCTTATTTTCTAATTTTAACATGTCACGTAGCATGCTCTTGATTGCAAGATGCTAGAAAAGGTCTAACAGGTAAACGAATTGATTATTATTTCCTTTGTGTTTTTGGTTGTGATGCTTATGCTTTGTTTCCAAAGAATAATAGAACTAAGCTGGATATGAAATCTAAGAAGTGTATTTTTCTTTGCTATAGGAATAGTGCAAAGGGTAAAGATTGTGGGATCCTCACCATAAGATTGTTTTTAGATGAAATGTTATTCTTAATGAAATTCCATGTAGAAAAAAGGGAGGGTCAAATGCAAAAATTGTTGAAGTAGAATATACCCATGGGAACCCATGAGATGGTGGCCAAGACCAAGAACTAGAAATTGTGAGAAAAGACGAACAATAAAAATCTTATGAGTTAGTGGGATAGCTTTTGTGGGAGTCCAGTTAAGAATGTAATTTGCTGGTGTCCTATCATGCTTCTTACCATTTCCACCAAAGTCCTATTATGTCTCTTGTCTATCCCGTTTTTTTGAGTAGTGTATGGCATGGTATATTGATGTATGATACCATGCTCAGCACAAAAATCCGTAAAACATTGTGAGGAATACTCAATTCCTCTACCTGTTCTAAGGACTTTAATTTTCTAGGTAATTGGGTTTGTACCTTAGCTTTGTACTCCTTTAAATGGTCTAGGGCTTTTGACTTTTTGTTCGACAGGTACACACGGCCAAATCCGGAGTGGTGATCTATGACACATTGAGTCTTTCAAATTTGGGAAGCACATATGGCAATATCCTCTCACAAAATTGGGTCTGTGACCATGAACAAACTAGGTATTCTTTTCAACCTTGAAACTGAAACCACCATAAACAAATTGGGATGGGGTTGCCTCCTCTCAGGCTAGTTAAGGTGGAGTGCCGCCTTCTTATGGCCTTGCTAACCAGGTGGGGCATCATGTATCCCAAGGGACAAGAGGCTTGAGAGAGAGAATGAGAGAGAGGTCTCTACAAGAACACATGGTGGGAAAGAAGGGGGTTTCCCCTCTATATAGGGCCTCATGTTTAGGGTATGCCAACTTTTAATGGGACTCAAATTTGGCCAAGGAGTTCTAGGTAATCTGTGAGTTGAACATAGTTAAATCCGAACCATCCATTTCTTAGTGCAGCTGTCATGATCAAGGAGGAATCCTAGAATTATTATTCCTCGGTTGCTTGCCCCATATCCATTTCTACTTTCACTAGAATTAAATCTTCCATAGTCCCACATAGCTAGGTCTCTTTCTTTCACCTACATCTCATTTCTTTAGAAATTCAAAGTCACAGTAGAAGAACTAAGTTCAACAAATTTCAAAATCAAATATTTCCATAACCAGCTAGATCTTATAATAAGGATTTCTTTAAAGGAAATATTCATAACAAAGTAAGAAAGGACATGGGCGTCCCACCTCTATGTGGTTGGATGTGTGGGTCATGTGGGCTTCATGGCCTAACATCCCACACCCATGTGGGGCTCCTAATGTGTGGGCCTAGGCCCTACACCCAACACGGGTCCTACATCATCCCTCTCATTTTTGGATATCAAAACTACCCTTTTAAGGGTTTTTTTGTGTTAAATATATTTATTAAAAGTTTCCTAATTTTTTTTTATTAAAATTCAAAAAATAATTTAAAAATCACAAAATCATAAATAAGGTTTGAAAACTATATTTTTGATATTTTAAGAATTTTGAAATGCAAATAATACAAAATTAGAAGTGGATTAGTGCCAATGGGTCAGGAAGAAGTGACATCTTTGAGGCACTCCACCTATGCCAGAATTTGTGATCCATGACCATTTTCTCAAACCATCCCATAGAACCCATGACCGTTGTCAATCACAAGGGCTTATGGTTGGTCCATCAAAGCTGGCCAATAAATGTAGGAATTATGAACCTAGTGTGTGGATTACAGGTTCTTCCTCAAGAGCAAGGCATATTGATGAAAATTGCGTCTAGAAGCTTGCTGGACTAGGAACATGTTTTGCATTTTCCTTTGTTAAATTGGTCGTTTTGGGATTTGTTAATGCCTTTTGTAATTTTTAATTGAGGGACTTTCCTGGTTTTAGAATTAAAGGGCTAAAGAGTTTGGTGTAGAGAGAAGTAATTTAATGTTTGAAAGTTTTCATGAGTCCAAAGGTCAAAGATGTGTAGCTTCAATGCATGTGAATTTGGCTTCATGCATGGGAACTTGGGTGCATGGAGGTTGCATCCAAGCAAGTTTAATGTATGGGAAATAGGACATAGGGGTAGTCTAGTCATTTTCACATTTTGTTAAGGGTATTTTGGTCATTGTCTAGGTCCATTGAATGGGTTCTTATATACTAAACATTGTTGTAAGAGTTGGATGGCATTTTTGATATTTTAATTAATGAAATTGCAAATTTCCTCCTACTTGGGTTTGAGAAAGAGAGAGATTGCCCAACTTGTGAATTGGAATACCTACTTGGTGTAGTGTCGTGATGTAGAGCTGAATAGAAATCTTTCTTCCCACGATTCCTTTGTACAGACGTCGATTCCAAAAACACGAATCTTCTAGCTGGGTGTGATACAGTGATTCCGATTCCTCAAATGATTCGGATTCGGAATCATTTCCAACAACTATGGCTGGCGCCTCAGTTGTGGCATGAGATTTTAACCTAGACACTACCTTGGGCAACAAGGCACAAGCCTAAGGTTGGGCTGCCCAGGGGGGCTGCTTAACCTTAGGCGCGGTGCCTCTTGCCTCAAGGCACTGCCTAGGCACCCAAGGCGTGTGCTTAATCATTGGTAAAAACTACTCCACAATCATAATTTGTTTCATTTCTCCAAGAAATATTTCTTTATGCAGTGCAAGCATATTTGCTTTTGCTTTTTTCGGAGTTGTGCAGTAGTAGAAATATGGATGTTGAATATATGTGACCTAAAGGTCCATTTTCTTTTATTTTTACACCTCTTCTCTCTATATTTTCTCACTCGTATTTTCACTTGCATGTTTTTAGGTTTTTTCTGCTGGGCCCAATTTTAAAGGAATAAAGATGATTCCACCTGGTCCTCACTTTGTATATTATAGTTCTTCAAACAAGTTTGTACTCTTAAACTTAGAATTTTTGTTGTACTTTCTTAAGTGTTTTATTCTTTCATTTTTGGATTTGCATTTCATATATTATCTCATGTGTGTAATCTTTTGTGTACTTTTGACTGACATTTTATTTCAGTCTCTTGATCAAGTTGTTCATGGATTCAAGTTATAGGACATATTCTTATTCTTGAAAACAATTACTTATAGGATTTTAATGCATTAAAGGGTTGCCTTGGTATTGCAGTGGTAAGAATAATAAAAATGTGTAGAGATATAAATTCCAAAATTTTATTCAAAACTTCATCCAACCTAATATACACCTTGATTTGCTGTATGGGCTATTGATTTTGGCTTTTTGTAGTTGTAGATTGTTCTAAGAATGACAATGAAAGCCAACAAATGAGAAATCCTTGTGAGAACGCTATCTAGCTTTAGTGGGGCTTCATACTGCTTATTGACCTTTCCAATAAGACAAGGCAACGTACAAACAACCAAGGCATTCTAAGGAAGGTTGATATTATTACATGGCTTTCTTAAAGGAGGAATGTCTTTTAACCCCCTTTTTGATGGATATAATGCACTTTTTCATTGTGGCACCTAATAATGGCCTTGCTCTCATCCCTATTGACTTTATGAAAGCCAATTCTATACAGGTCTCCTTTCAAACGACCCTCTGCATTTAGCTTTAAAGGTATTCCCTAATTTGTCATTCAACCTTACATGCTAGGCTTCTTTCTCAATACTCTCATCATACTCTTTAAGGGAACCACAATTTTCTCTCATCCAACACCATCCACTTTATGCTGGCAAAGAGTTTTACGAAGAACAACATCACTTGATAATTTCAAAGTTGGTTCTCAACTAAAGAGATCCATGTAGCATCAAACCTGTGAACCAAATTCAAGACAAATCTCCACCAAAGGTGTCATACTCTTCATTTCACTTTAACTACTATCATCTAATCAACATGTCAAATGGAGACATTGGTCAGCAAACAATTATTTCTGGTTCAAATCCTACACAAATCTTGCAAAGCATTAGCGAGCGTCTATTGCTTTACTAAGTAGCACGGAAAGCAAGAATGAGGGGAAAAAAACATCGTCAATGAAAATTGTTTGTTTTGGAGGCATTGGATGTGCTAGGTCATGTGGGCAGCGGTCATAAGTTCATTTCCTATGAGGTCCCACCAGGTAGCCTTTTTCAGTATGAAAAAACTTCAACGTTGAAGATGCATAATGAGTGTTTATTATGCACTTGGCTAGGCAGGTCAATGCATGAAGAAGATGGTCAAGCTGGAAAAGGGAAAGAAGTACTTGAGCTTGGAGGGGGATCGTGTTGAGATATTATGTGCCCATGTAAGCATTTGACCACGTGATGAGGACCTCGTCCGATTTCATCCATTTCCAGGCATTTTAAAGTAAAAAGATTGTCGTTTTGGTGGATGGTTCTTCTTAGTGTATCGGAAAAACCTGGTACTGCCTAGGTGACCAGGGATCTGGCCACCTGGGTGCCTCTTCAGCCTCCTATTTCATCAATATGTGGGTGTCCACTTTTGTTCCATATATATGGCAGCTATATTATACATGCATCGTTTTATAGGTGGTATGTTATGTTTGATGAGCATTGACATATTGTAGAGAAAAAGAATTGAAACTTGAAGGTAAATGTTGATTCACACAAGCAGTTCCAAATAAAACATTAAAACGTTATAAACATGGCCCAAACAAAATGAAATGAATTGACGGCAATAAGGCTAAGCCCATATCCCGTTTGTTACTTGATCTTCAATCCTTAGTGTTCTTGGATTCCAAATTCCCCGAGTACTCCTCTTGTAACCTCCAATATGTATCAAATTCACCCTCTACCCCCACATCCAAAAGAAAAAAAAAACAATCAATTGAATTTGATTTTTCAAAAAGTGGAAGTCTTTCTCAATCTAAAACACAAATCAGCTTTTGGTTTTTGATTTGTTTTTTAATGGGTTCTAGGTCTTAGGTGCACATTATGGGGTTAAAAGTACCCCCTTAATGTATTTTCGCTCCTTTTATAGTAGGGAAAATGATGAAAATTGCTTCTACTCCAAGACATTTTTCGCCCTTGGGCTAGTGTGCACCTGAGGTGGCTGCCTTGGCTAAGGCCCTCAGCACTTACCTAAGGCAGCTTGCCTACTCCTAGGCAAGTCGCAAGGTGGCCACCTCACCATGAGGCCCTGCTTAGGCGACCTAAGGGGGGCATTTTTTATAATAACGGTTCTTCAAATATACATGTATTCTCAAGTCCTGAAGAACTTCTCGAGTGCAATGAAGTGCTTTCGTTTTACTTGCAAGTCCTCGTCATTTGAAAATGATTAAACGTAGGATGGCGGGAAATATATGGTGAAGAATCATGATTGTGTTCAACCTTTTTTAATCCTGAGAGTTCATTAACTGTCATTCTTTCTTATACCTTGATATTTCTAGAAGCTCTCTCTCGAAAAATATTGCCTTTAATTTTTTTAGAGATCCATTGATTCTGATAGAAGTCTTGGAATACTTTCCTCAGTACAGTAAGTGTTTGATGTGGTTGCATACGAAAAGCATCCATGCTAGCAACATTCACTCCTTAATTTGCAAGACCTCATCCTCTGAAAAATGATGACATGCCAGAAATATATTATGAAGGAGCACGATTGTGGTCTTTATTATGCTTTGAATAGACAACAAGTAAGGCAAAAACATGTTTTCTTTTCACCACAATGTCAAGCCTGCCTCAATAAGTACCTCCTCCGTCACAACTAAGGAATACTCTCTTATCCTTATTTGACTTTCTAACAAAAATATTTACCGTTGGTTTAAAAGTTCTTCTATGCTTTGAAACAGTGTTTTAAAATGCGGCCGTATTGCCGCATATGCGGCCGCATCATGCGGGATGCGCTCGCATCCACATCAGAAACAGGCGCATATGCGCTTTTGACAGTTGCGGCCACATATGCGCCACATCAGGCCGCATTGTAGCCTCATCCCGCATAGGCTGCATCGCATCGCATCCCACTGCTACAGTGTCCGCCGAATTTTTTTCTGTTTTGCCCCTCGGGGACGGGCAAAATGGTCTTTTTGGCCATCCAAATGTTAGGGAAACTGTTTGGGGGGTATTAGGGGTCCTAAACAAAGATTTTCAGCCACTTTTGTGGCTTTTTTTGCATCAAATCGAGGTAAAAAAAAATTTAGGTGGAATATTTTTTTTCATCGAAATCTTTGATTTGGTAGTTGTTTGACACTTGGATGTTCATTGGATGCCTTTGATTGTTGATTTGGAGATGTTAGGGTGAATTTGTAATAAAAACTCGAGGCTTTCAGAGGTCGTACAGAAATCGAGCAGTACTTCATAGAGTCGGTAAATTTTTTTTCCTTCTTGTACAATATTACTATTATACATATTTTTGGGGGCAATGTCTTCTTCCCAATCTTTTAGTAATAAGGATCTGGCTTGGAAATATGCTAAACTAAAAAATCCCAAAGATAGAAATTGTGTGATATGCTTGCTCTGTGGAAATACTTATATGGGTGGATAACTGGATATAAAATCTCTGACAACTAATAGTTTTGAAGTTAATCATTAAACTGAAATACCTACTATCACATATATCACCTTCATATTTTTTTCTATGCATTAACTTATTTTTTTAAAATTTTTAGAATTGTTTTATATTTATTGACCGCATCATCGCTATGCACCCGCATCCGGGCCGCATCGCCGCATTGGCCCTCCACCGCATTAGGGTTGCATCCCGCATTTTAAAACATTGCTTTGAAAGCACTCTATCAGTGGTGAAAGCATTTTATTGCACTCAAGGAACTCATCATGACTTTGAATATGTATATTTACACAATAAGAATTTATATTGTCCCCTCCTATGATGAACATTTAGCTACAATATGGTAGGCATGGAATTGTAAAAAAAATTCATAGTGAAGAAAACATGTTCTTTATATTATATGTTGTCCTTCAATTCGGGATTTATTAGGTAACCTTGCTTATGCTCTTCTCCGATATTGTTTTAAATGTAATGATGATTGATGAGCACCATTTCGTACATTTCTTGTTTGATCTCCCTATTTTTGTGTTGCTTGAATGTATTTGTAAAGGATTATGCTTAGCCACTTACAAATTACAAAATAGACATTACAAGAGGCCTTTACTTGGTATTGTCAGGATTACAAGTTTTAGTACTTCTTTTTAAGTATTATGCTTAACGGTCAGTGTTTCAGAAAATGCTAGCTAGTGCCTAGACGATCATAGGACTCCATAGCCCCTAGGTGGGTGCCCAGATTTTTTGTCTGCCTAGGGCCTAGGTTGAAGAAGAGGGGTAGGGGGGAGGGGAATATGAGTCATCATCATCATCAAAATCTCTTCCCAATTAATTAGGGTCGGCTGCACGAATCTTGGTCTGCAATTCTGCTCTATTAAGGGCCATACCCTAAGTGAGGCCATAAGTCCCCCATATATTTTCTTACTACTTACAAGCATATCCTTTTGGACCTATCCCTTGTTCTTTTTGAGCCTTCCAGTTGAACTAACTCACACCTCCTAATAGGTGCTGTACTGGGGTAGGGGGAATATGAGTATACATTATAGAATGTTATAAATTTCGTGATTCAAAGTTCCAAAGCATTGTAAATTTGTAATAGATAGACTACTAACACAACTAAAAATAAAATATAATAGTAATTAGTAGATTGGTAATATAGGCACAATCCGTAATCCATACTCCATAGACCATACTCCATGCCCCAAATTCATACCATTTCATAATCTACAGTTTCATACAATGATACAACCATAGGCCATAGGAGTCTTGGCCGCTCTACCTAGTGTTGTGTTTTACTGAACTCAAATATTAGTTAATCTCCTCCCTGGTAGCCTCAAGAAGGAGAATTACTTCTAGAAGAACCAGAAGAAGACATTGAAATAACAAATAAAATCTCAAATATGAAGATCTTTAACTAACCTTTTTACTCGATCTTCAATCTTCAATGTTTGGAATGTTTTCTAATATCAATTACTTCCCAAAAACTCTCTAATAAACTTAAAAATCAAAATCAAATCTAAACCAAAATAACGATGTTTGAATCAATTTTTCAAGACATACCCAATTGATCTCTTAGAAATGTAAAAAAGTGATTATTTTGAAATGCTTTTCTACTCTAAAGGTAAACAAAGGGGTTTAGGTCACACAATAACCTAAAACCCCCGTTTCCCCCTTATTTAGGGGTTAAAAATATGAAAAATTCCCTCCACGGCATTTTTGCCCCTGGGCAATGTGCAATCTTTGAGAGCTCGGGGTCCCTAGGCGTGCACCTAGGGACCCTCGCCCAGAAGGGCTGCCTAGGTTTGGGTAATGCGCCCAGGCTGCCCTGGCCCGTTTGGGTGCTAGGGGTCTGCCTTTTTAAACACTATTAGCCGCTTACAAGTTACAAGATACAAGATAGACAATGCAAGATGCCATTACTTGATATTGTCAAGGTTACTTGTTTTATTACTTCTTTTCATGCTTTGGTTTTTAGATATGGAGGAAAGTGTTTTGTGGGGATTTAAAAAACATTTGATATTATAGTTGGTGATCTTCCAACCTATAATAAATGTGAGATAGGGATGGGGGTTGAGGACTCGGTGGTTAGGGGATGGAAGTCTCGACATAATGTCCCACCCTCCAATCCCACTGTTATAATGTCAAAGAAAAAGTTTTTGTGATAAGCGTTCTTCCTATTCATTTTTAAAAAAAAGTGAGATAGGATATTGCCATGCATGTGATGAAACAAATATGAATGCATGTGATGAAACAAATATGAATCTTTTGTGTGTATTCAAATGCAGTTATTTTGGTGTTTACTAATGAATTTGCTCAGAGTTGAACCCATATTTAGTATTAGCAAAGCGATCATCTTCATTGTTGGACTACAAATGCTTATTACGATAGAATAAGTCATATTATCCTTCATATATTTGTGCAATTGATCAATTCAGTTTTGCCAGTCTATGCTATTAATATATGTTCGGTGCATGTGTCACATCATATGTGGTTCACACCACATAATGACGTATTGGCACATCTATCCAGTTTAGTCTTTTAAAAATAGATAGTAAGGACAATTAACATTTTCCAACAAAAAAAAAAAAAGATATACTGAAGTTGAATATTATAGAAAGCATAGACCTCAAAGAGATCTTAGGGCGATAGTCTGTAGTTATTAGGAGTGTGAGCAGAGGAGGGGGACTTCCTTCCTTGCCAGAGGCCTCCCTAGTTAGGGGGCAGTCATACAATAAATATTTAAAAGATTATGGTGAACATATGAAAATAACGTAAGGATTTTGATGCTCTCTTTCAATCTTGGTCTAAAATGAAAATATTATCCTTTCCTTAGAACCCATAATTTATCTTGTGATGCTTTTTGTTGGTCCCACTATGAAACCTGCCAAACTAGAGAGAGGGTTCTACCTTTCCAAAATTAGTGTATCATTCCTAGATAGACGAGGAACGTGTTGTCAACAGAACAAGAGCCGTGTTCTAGGATGCTCTATTGACTCAACCTTCCATTGGAATCAATTTGTCTGTCCCCTCCATATTCTTATTTCCAAAATACTGCAAGTTTTATTTATCTGTCAAGAAAAATTGACTTTTATTTGTGAACAATTTTTTTTATTTGTTGTTCCTACTTTGTGCTTCTCCTAATTTCAAGCCTTCTGGAACTCATGCTATGTCTAGCAGGAAATGTGAAACTATAACTTTCCTTCTGGCTTCTCATATCTTCTTTCATTTCTCTTAGTGCTAGGCCATGCATTGTAGCATCCATAGGGAATAGGAAGTTGTTTTTATTTATTGATTTGTGAATGACTTCTTTCTTATGTCAATTCCTCTGCTTTACAAGTGAAATTCAAATAGAAAATTTACATTGCTTTCTTCACCACCTTTAGCTACAAAAGAAATGTCTTAGATGGTAATAACAAGTCCAAGTAGAACAACTTAGAAACCAGTTCTTTGATGGTCAATAAATGCACAAAGAAACATGGAATTTTGTTGTACAACCAATACCTCTACCTAATATTAGGCTCATATGAAGGGGGTAAATTGTAGTATTTTATTTTCCTTTGATGGGCTTGTTCCCTGTAATCCAAATCCTTATTTAATATGTGTTTGCAAGGGGATCATTGCTTTGTACCAAAATACTAATGAAGATTGCATATTTGGACCGTTAGTTACAATTGTTTTTAGGTGGACCACCTATTTGCATCCATCTTTAGGATGGATGCTTTATAGGTGTTAGTAGTTTATAAAAGGGGTTAAAGAAAGAGGAAGGAACAAAGAAAGAAAAAAAAAAGGAGGACAGAAAGCTCAAATTCAAAGGGATCTTAGGGGGCAAAACCGTTGTTGGCTTCTCAACTACGCTTTGACCTCATTTTTAGCCCCCAGGCCCTCATTTTACCTCGCCAAAGCCAACCACCATCGGTAGACGATCGCAAACATACTTGGAGAAAGGCTGATCTCCATCTTGATCTCACTTTTTACGCTATCAAGCACTCAACCTCTGGACTGTCCTCAATGCTCAGCGATCAAAATCAGGTTTCCTTTACATAGTAAAGCGGGGTTTTCTGCACAGTACGCTGCCAGGTGTTCGCCGTATCTCTTTCACCTGCTAGCAGAGAACCCTAACCGACTGTCTTAAGTATGCCGATGATGATCTTTTGTTGTGGCCTGCTCTCGCTATATGAGGTCCAAGTCACATGCTTCAAGGCCTCTGCTACAGCCTCCGCGCCAGGGTGTTGTACCTTTTGAGCTTATGTTGGGCTCTGCCCAACCTTTTTAATGTAAATTTGCCCCTCGCTCTTCTCTATTCTCTCGTCTCTTCTCTTCTCATCTTTACTTATGTTGTCTGAGCACCCAACATGTGGAGCTGCTGTCTTTAGGATTAGCTTCAAATGTAATTTTTTACCTTATTAATGCAGCCAACCTATTTTTTTTTTAAAAAGATTGCATATACAAGTAATGGAGTTATACTTTAAAGAAATAAGGGATTCCTATAAGGTTGCTAAAACTCCTTTAACATGGTCATAGTGAGGAAGGGAGGGAGAGAAATTGTCTCTAGTTTTATACAAGGAAACAAAGAAATGAAAAGAAAGAAAACAGAACATTTCCCTTTAGGTATGATTATGGGTGCCTAAAGAACCTTTCCTGTGGTTGTGAAGCATTTAATATATCGGGGCTTGATAGTAAAATAAGGGGAGACCTTTATTAGTTTTTGTTTGGGCGGGGGTGTATTTTGGCTGGATTTTGAATATTAATATTGGCTACTGTGCAGTGATGATGAAAGCAATGTAGAAGATGGTGGTGGAAACATGGGGAGAAGGGAAAGTTGTGCGAAGAGGAATGTGGTGGAAAACGTTGTACTGCCCTAAATATTAGTTTAAAGTTTTGAATCACTCTGGAAAATTTGTGGTGTACCACTTGTGCAATTGAAACATTAGAACTTTGGAAGGTTTGAAGGTGGTCTCTTGACTGACGCAGCCAATTAAGTGATTGATGGTATGAATGTGTATATATGTATGTATGCATGCATGCATGCTTGCAACAACAAATTTTAAATAGAATTCTACACAAATATAAACCATGTAGCAATATCAATGGATTTGTACAAAGTACGTGACAAAGGTTGGTGGGAAAAGAACAAGTAGGAGGTGTCCTACTAAAGACATGGGATATGATTAGGGGTAATATCAAGGTTTCCCTGATTACTAACTCCAATTTTGATGGAAATATAAAAATAGATGAATATTTTTCCGTTTAAAGTGAAATCCCTTATCATTTCTCTTGGGAATGTTTTGCCGTTCAAAGTGAAATCCTTATATTTTATCTTGGGAAATTTGGTTTTCTTTTGGCGTTATGAAAAATCAGATCTTACCTTTTTGTGTGTAATTGCGTGTGTGCGTCCGTTGGCTCTTAACATTTTTGTTTGGGATGCTGATGAGTTAACCTCTCATTCTCTATTTGGGAAGTCCTTTGTTTAATTGTAGGTTATGGAGGAAACATGTATGATTTGATTTTCCACCTGCTTTACTGGAACATGATTACCTTCTTCCCATCGGTTTGGAAACCGTTATGAGTTTCCCTCAATTTAATTTAATTTTTCTTTTAGTCTCTCTTTGATATTTATTTTTGATCTTAATTCCATTTGGTTTAGAACCCAATAAGATGTATTTCTTACGTCTGGTATCTGTAGATGAACCTGGTGCCTTTGTGACCTGGGAAAAAGATGGCTTCTTTGTATGTTTGAGATTGGCCTTAAGCAATTAACTAATAACAATTACTCATGAAATGGATTTTCTTCAATTATTTATTAATTCATATTGGCTCCTGTGATTATGGTTTAGGTGTAAAAATTGTGTTTTGCCACTGCTGTGAAAAGCTGATCATCTAGGCGTCTTACACCCCTCTGGTTCTTGCAGAATATATGCTAGTACTTTAGAAAGCAACTTTTCGTTTTGATGTGCTCTTCCACACTTACGAAAATTGAACGAACTTTGAAATGTTGTTTCTTGTTTGACTTTTATCCATGTTATTTCATATATATCCCATAAGGTTATGATGTTATTTACTTTATCTTATGGCATGCTATATGTTATATTTTTCTGCAGGGATGGGAGTGAGTATGCACCAATAATTGGGTTCTTTGTTTATATATCGCCCTCAGAGGTACCTGTTGACTTCCTCATTGTTGTGATATGTTTCTGGGTGCCATAGTGAATTTTATTCTCTTCTGCTTACATACAAAGATTTGATTTAATCTGAAGTTGATTTCCCATATTCTAGGCATTGCTATTGTCTTTCAGCTCTTGGAATTAAGATTTTATCCTCATCTGCATCTTCTAAGAAATTTGGAATTAGATGGATGACTGAAAAGCCAAATGATTTTATGTTTTCAATGAATTGATGTGGCCCTGTATTGGATCATTCAATTTGGAAGCAATATTAATCTTTTATGACATGTGATGGCTGTTTTATTTTACCGACTTTTTTTAATCAGTTAAGGGCAAGCTTTCTATGCTTCCCCTACAACAGAAAACGTGTATACTTCCCCTTATATAATTCTGAATGGAGGGCTTAAGATTGCGCCAATCAAAATGTCATTTCCCTACACTATTTTATTTTTAAGTTTTTTTCTACAAACTATTTTAACACCAAAATTTGTATGTCCAATCCTCTATTAAACTCGCATTAGCGAAAAATATAAAAAAAATGTTTCCAATAAAAGATAATGACCAAAATACCCCTTAAAGTTTCAAGGGGCATTTTGGTCATTATATGTTATCGAAAAATTATTTTTAATATTTTTTATAGGTGCGCCCCAATGAGAAGATGGCACGTACCAAATTTCATATTCATTTAATTTGTATAAAAAAAAACTAAAAATAAAATACTTTGAGACGTTGGATCTAAGATCAAACGGTGAGTGGCTCTCTTGATCAAAATTGGACGAATAGATGGTAGGGGAAGCATAGATCTTCTATGCTGTAGGGGCTTTCCCTTCAGTTCATCAATTATGAAAAGAGAAAAAGATATTTTCTGATTGTCACTTGGACATGGTTTTAGGTTTACCAAAATGTAGTTACCCTTACTGATTATTTATGCATATTGATAGTATTCTCTGCTCCTTACTTTGTTCCAATTGTGCTTGAAGTGGTGGTTTTCTCCACTTTTTGCATGTCTTTAGCTTGTTCTCATTTTTGTCGGATTACCTGGTAGCTGCAAATATCATGATTCTGTTTTTGGAAAAATTTCTTCTATGGATTTGGTGAGACTTTTTAGGATGACAAATGGCATTGACATTCCTTCATGCACAATTCTTTGACAAATAATTTTATCTGGGATATCTTGTCAGAAATTTAAATATTTAACTTTTCAGTGATTTCCAACTATTTTTAGCTCTATCTGGCCAAGAACACGTGTTCTTTAGAAAAATATTTTGAATAGAGTGAACACAACTTTTCGAAAAGATAAACTTATATGTAAAGGAATTATATAAAATGAGACCATTTATCTTTGGTACATGGTGGTCACAATTACTTACAACCACCCGATGTGAAATTTGATATCTTAGTTGTGTTGCAAAGTTTGAGAAAATTTCTTTTGAAGTTTGAACTTGGTCAATGGAATTAATGCAGCCTCCCAATCTCATATCTAATGGTCAAGATTGATTGTGACCACCTTGTACCAAAGGTAAATGGTCTCATTCTATATTTTTCTATGCGTAAAACTGCTCATAAGTTTGTCCTATATAACTTTATGATTGATGCAGCCAAACAACAAATAACTTGTTATCGGGATTAACTTTAGGACAAGTTTTCTATTAGTCAGCCGACTCATCTATCTAAATGAGTCCTCTCTTCTAAATCCATTTTAGAGATAGACTTTGGATTCCAAATTTTAAGAAATGAATATCACAACCATGATGAGAAGGAACTCCGACGAAAATAAGTAAATTTAAAAACAAAATAAAAAATTTTACATAATTTGTACACCATTGATTTTGAAGTTTTTGGAGGCTATCATTTTTGAAATCTGTCTCGAAGATGGGTGTTAAATGAGTTAGGGGACACTATTGTAGAAGTGTGTCTCCTCTCTCCTAATGCTATTTCAAATTTTTAAGGAATGAAAATCACAACCATGATGAGTAGGAATTCTGAAAAAAGAAGTAATTTTTAAAAAATGAAAGTGAAAAATCTTAACATTTATCATTGATTTTAAAATTATTGGAGGCCATCATTTTCTAACAACCATCTCTAGGATGATACATGCATCAGGGAACACTATTGTAGAAGTGTGTCCCCCTAATGCACGCACTACCTTTCCTGAACTTTAGTGCAATAGTGAGTTATCAGTGATAATGAGTACATCCAAACAGGCCTCGAAAGAGTTATACATTCGCTTGGATGAGTCTTCTGCATCCTAAAAACACTAGCTCATGCGATGTAGAATTTGAAAGTTTAATTGTTGCCGCTTTTAGGAGTTACAAAAAATGATCCACCGCTACTTGTTTGAACAAGAATAGGGCGTCAAACTCACTAGAGGGCCATATTATGTGATCGCCTTCTCCATGATAAGAATATTTTCTCTTCTTACCCCCTTCTATGTATGTTGCGGGCATTCGAGCCTTCCTTCCTTGGTCATTTCTCAAAGGAGAGGCTTCCTCAAACCCTTGATGGAAGTCTTATGCACTATGCATTGAACTGCAGAATCTCAAGAGCCAATGAAATTGGGGGCCTTAAGAGCTCTCATGGTTCCTTTTGTGTGTCTTAAGTATTTGTTTTCCTAGAGCTTAGGCTCCCACATCTAGAATACTATTTCCACATTATTGACCATCCTTCTTCCAAGTTTAACACATCATGTATCTTCTAGCCACTCCCCTTTAAATGCGGTTCAGCATATGCTTCCTTCCTTGGGAATCTGTCAAAGGAGAGGCTTCCTCAAACCCTTGATGGAAGTCTCGTGCCCGTTACATTTGCCTACAGAACTTCAAGAGTCTATGAAATTATAGTTTTTAAGAAATGCACATATTGCCATATGTTTTTCTAAACGTTCGCTTTTCTGGGGCTTAGCATCCTGCATCTAGAATCTTTCTTCTACATTATTTATCTTCTGTTTTTTAGTTACCACATCAAGTATCTTCTTTCCACTCCTATCGAAGTGCTCATCATATGTGATAAGTGCAATCAAAATGCAATATGTGATACTAACATGTGGGAAACACGCTTCAAATGAGAAACATAGAATCTTCAGGATAGGAGTGGAACACCACAGTACTTAAGTGGAAACTCCACCTTAAGCGGTGTTTCCCAAAACTACGCACACAAGTACTGGCTAATGGCTTGATATTGATTATACCAGACCATCTCTCTGATTACAATACCTGCTTAAGTGTACATTTCATATTGAATCTGGGTAATTTCTCCTGTATGATACCTTATGCACTGAAGAAATTCATATCTTTATACCTTTTTGCACCATCTTTATCCTTCAATAAGCCTAAACTTGAAAACGATAACTTTGCTACTGGTCCATTCTTACAAGGCTCTTATTTCCTGTATCCTTGACATTAATTCATCCATAATACATGCACCTGGCATCTTGGTTGTAGAACCTCCTAACTCTTCAATTGGACAATGTGAATATTTGGGCTGTGTGAAAGGCATTCTCTGTACAACCTATTAGTACCCATTTGAAAACTTCAATCTTTCCTAAAGCTCCACCTTGAGATTCATAAGACTAACTTGGCCTAATCTGTTATCAATGCATCCGCCTGGAGGATCTTTTCCAAAACAAAGTTTCATTACTCTCAGCTATTTACTGGTTTTATGATTTTAAAATATGTAACCAATTGATTCTCAGTGAATGCTTTTTCATAGCAACTCCCACAGTAGTGGAAAACATATATTACATAACATATTAGGCACCATGATTCATCATGGTTCAAGTTACATATGCATTAATTTGGTATGCTGGCACACAACTTAGTCACTCATTTTATGTTTTCTGCATTCACTTTAACAATGTAATGATCTTATTTGGACCATTCGCCTTTCTTATAATGTGTGCTGCTTTTTCGTTACAAATGGCTCTTGTGCTATTATGTTTAAAGTGCATTTGATTGCGTTCTTAGGTCATTGTTCGGAAATGGATTCAACAAGAGGAACGGTTGGTTATGCTCTCAGAGGATGAGGTTCCTTCTCCTATCGATTTTTTGTTAACTACGTTCTTCTATTGCCTAAAATTGGTTGATTCTTTTTTGCATCTATTAAATATATCCTTATGTAAGAAGACTAAGATAATTTGGATGGTTGTTTGAGAGTAGAAGTTCATAAATGTTGTAAAGTATTTCATGTTTGTGCGATCTTGGATGCAAATATTTTAGGTGGATCTCTCTCTCTCTCTCTCTCTCATGTTCGCTAATTTGGAAACAAAATGCTATTATTAAAACGGAGGGCATCAACCCTGGTTCATTTCATCAACTTCATCCAAGGTAGATAACTTGCAGCTGACCCCAAGAAGGCCATCTGATTGGACTCCTTATTCTTATTGTGCCTGTTGAGCTACAAGGATCATTGATCTGACAAGATGCGACAAACCCTGCATGAAACCTATTGGGCTCTACTCATGGATCTCTAATTATGCACGATTGTGTTGCATATGATTTCATTACGGTTCCATTGTTGCATTTATCATGCTTGAATCTTGTCCTTGGGTGTAGAATGCCTTCAACCCATTGGTGTCACACTTAAAGCTTGTTTTGCTTTTCTAAAATTGCAAACATCATGCTTCAATGTTTTCCATTGTTGCCCCAAGTCACAAAGTGCCCTATTTGGCTTCTGAAAGGACTTTCTCTCCTTCAAATATATACTTCTACTGGTTACATCCCAATCCCCAATCGCCTAGCTTAGGTAAGGGGAATGGGATTGAAAAGTTGCCCTTAGGAGACAGAAATACAGTTTTAAGACAATCTTAGTACATTTCCCTATTAAGATATCTCTCTTCCTATTCGTGGCCTAATGGAAGATTGTCACCAAGATCAATTTTATCTCTTTAGTAGTTTTGACCTCAATAATGATATTTCTATTTTCTCTTTTTATTTTGACACTTGACAAGGTAATATAAGTCAATTTTAATGTTCAACCTCACACTCAGAAAACTTTTTGATGTTTAACCTACCATTAGTACGTGTGGGTTAAGATAATGTATGTTTTACTAATTATTGCTATAATTGATTTATTTTGTTTAACCATACCTATTTTGAAGGAAGTGGCTACATGGAATTCAAGGGAATAAAATAAAAAAATTTCTCTTTTTCTTTTATTAATCAATCTGAATTCCACTAACAAGTGCCACAATACACTCCTGTAAGTAAGAAGTGAAACTTTAAATACAACCTAGGGTCTTTTCTTTTACTGGCAGATTGAGTAGACACAACCCAAGAATAAAAAACAAATTTTCACTAACAATTTTAATACAAATAATGTTCCTGAAAATTCAAGAAAGTATACAAATACGACTGAAAAAATAAAAGCAAACAGCCAGGAAGACTCACTCAAATTTGCCTAGGCTCACCTCAAGAGGATTTAGTACACCCCATACCCAATTTCCTGACCGATGGCAAACTCTGATCCTATTGGCCTTGCTAAATTTCCCGGGAAGCTTCCGTAGGATTTCTTGGCACCTCACAAACTGGGGCTTTTGAGAGCACGAGACAATTAGGGTTTTCAAGACCCCTTCAATCCTATGGGGCATGCCATTGTGTGACACCTCTCTAACCAAACCATGTGCTGGGTATGCTCCATTTTCTCCTTATTATGGGTGGTGCGTGTGCCGCCCCTAGAGATGTATGGGGGGTGGCATGCCATAAAGAGCGAGCGAGATAGAAGATAAAACAAGAGAGAGGAGAGCGTGGCATGAAGGAGAGGGAAAGTAGAGAGAGAGAGAGGGATTAGAAAATAAAAGGTGCAGAGAATGAGGGAGGAAGCCCTCATATAGGCCTCGAGGTATGCCTATCAAATTATGAATTATCATGACCAATAGAATTTCGGGAAATCTGTGAGGTGGGAATTAAATCTGAGGCATCTATTTCATGAATCAGCCATCATGATTTGGGGAAGAATATTTGGAGCCTCATCCTCGAGTCTTTAACCTATATCTTAGTCAAACTAGGATAAGTCCTATCTAAACTTAATCTTCTAGAATTCCCATATCTCTCAAGATATTAGGAATTCAAAAAGATAAAGATATGGTCAAAAGATATTATCTAAAACTAACTCCCTCAAAATAAGGATATAATATTTTTTAAAAAGATTTCCTTAACTTAAAAGATGCCTTATAATGTTATAAAAAACAAAGCTAAAATAAATAAGAAGGGGGGTGTGCCACCTCCATGAGTGAGTTGTGGGTCACATGGGTGGGGCCCCATGGGCTCCACACTGCACCCATGTGGCATGGGACACATGAGGGGCTAGATCCAAGGCCATCGCTCACAGCCCTCCATTGACCATGATTTCAGATATACCCTTTTCAAGGAACTCCGAGCAGAAATTAATTTTTAAAATTATGAAATTTTTCAAAATTGATTGAATTGTTTCTTTCGCTAGAAATAAAATATCTAGAATTGGAGTGGTACCAATTAGTCACGATAAGTGACAGTCAAGACACTCCACGCAACTCAGTGACTGTGATCCTCAACTATCTTCTCAGACTGACCCAGTGGGACCCATGACCCACAGTCTCATGTAGGGGCTCATGATTGGTTTGTCAAAGTTGGCCCATAAATAGTGGAATTATAGTCCCATAATGTGGAGTATTGGCAGTGATTTAAAAAGCGGACCGCCTAGCACTTGGGCGGCCGCCTAAGCGGTCCAGAAGGCCTGGGGGAGGCCTGAGCGCATCTCCCCAGCCTAGGCGGCCAAATTAGGTGGGATATCCCTAGGCGTCTGGGAACCCACCTAAGGGGGCACCCAACACACAGCCTTGGGTGGCTGCTCAGGGTCTACGCCTTGCTCAGGGGCGGAAATGGCCCTCATTGAGGGAATTTTTTGGTCAGTTTTGTAATATTAAAGGGACAAAATTGTACGTTTTAGGTTCATTTGAAACCTAAAACCATTAGAACCTATTTTAGAGAGAAAAACCTCAAAAAACTAGTTTTTAATGATTTTCATAAGATCAAAGGGTTTCCCAAAGTTACGAGAAATTGATCTAAGCATCACCCATTGATATTAGATTTAGTTTTGGATGTTTTATGAATCTATTAGAGGATGTTTTAGAAGATTTTCAGTCCTTAGAAACATCTTAGAGCTGGAAGTTTGGAGATCGAGCAATCAAAGTTAGTGATTTGTTTTTTTGATTGCTTGAATTATTGTGAGATGTCTTCTTTGGGATCTAATTGAGTATGGAGGAGTGTGTGCTATGTGTACTATACATTTGATGTGCCCTAAATCACTAATTCTTATGTGTTATACAATTATACTTATACTATTAGATTATAGAGATATTTTTCTTTCTACTGGGCCGCCCAGGTATTGGGCGCCTGCCTAGGTTCTGGGCGCCCGCCTAGGTGCTAGGCTGCCTGGAGCCCACTGGCTGCCTAGCGCCTTTGAAACATTGAGTGCTGGTTCCCCTCAAGAGCTAGTCACACACATAGATCACTATATTGCAAGGGAGGCTCTCTTGCACGTGTACACGTATCCCTTTTTAAGGTTGCTTCCCGGTAATATGGCTATCATGTGTCTACGAAGCTCTCCTGGCCTACAAAGCATCCCTAGGCATTTGTCCAACCTCAATAAGTGATGACCCTCTAAAAACCCTTTTTGATAGTGCCATATGCTCAGGGTTAGGGATTGTGGAAATGACCCCATTTATAGACCACCTAACCCTAGGTTAGTCAACAAATGGACATTCTCCCATCGAAGTGTATAATCCACTATAATTTATATTTATATGCTCACAGGGCCTTTAAAGGCTGCAAAACCCTAGTATATTTTGCTATCTAAACATGTATGCTTTTTGTAAGGCGCCAGACCTTTTCCTAGGCACTTTTTCCTGCACCAAAATCCCCCAAACTTGCCCTTGAACCCTGTTTGTGTTGGTCAATAAAGCCATTCTTTAAACAAATAATAAAAAAACATGTGATGACCTATATCGATGTTGAATTTACTACACTGAGTCAGCCATAAGCCATATTGTGCATTTTCACCTAATCTTGATGTTGGATGATGGAGATATCACCTTGTTACGATGAGCATTATGCCTTTGTGTTGCTTTTAGTATTAATTAAATGATAGTTGCACACTTGATCTCATACATACACTTAAAAAAGAAAAAAAAGACAAGGAAAAATGTGACACATGGTGTTTGTGGTACCCAACCAAGTTCTAGTTCTGAAAACTTCAAATGGCAATGCACAATTGCATCTAATGAGATCCATTATGTTTCAATATTTCCTAAATAAAATAGCATACACCCATGTTCAAGACGACGGGGGCAGCCGCCTGGTGATGTAAGTGGCCATTGTATGGGGGGACAAGGAAGAAAAAGAGAGGGGGTGGGGGAGGGGGCTAGGGATTTCAAATTTCAAACCTATTTAACCTATACTAAAAATTACGTCTAAAAGACTAAAACTTTGAAATTGCCATAAATGTTACATCCATTAACCATTTAGGCCAAACTAAGAAATCACATAACATAAATTTACATCCATTAGGCGTTAGCCATTGAAGCCTAAATAAAAAGTCAAAAGTTTTACATCCATTAGCATTTCAAACGTTTCTTCAAAGTTCAAAAGTTAAGGTTTAACACATTCTAAAATCCAAAGTTCCAAAGATTACATAAAAATTAATTATCATAAGAATTCATAAAGGGCCTAATTGGTTTCACCATCACTTCCAACATTGTTGTCTCTTGTCTCTCCTACCAAAACTGTATCAGATGATGATGATGATGCCATTTCATCATCATCAGAATCATCCCTTTCTGATACATATCATTCTTATTCGTCAGTCTGTTATGACTCTTCTAGCTTTGGCTTTTTTTCTTTCGTCCCTCACTCTCTGTAGTGTTTTGTTCCCCTTAGACCCCTTTCTTTGATGTTTGATACCCCTTCCTTTGAGATTGAGAAGTTGTGGTCCCAACGGGGTCCCACTGGGTTCTCATAGCTTGCCTCACTTTATTCTATGTCAAGTCCTG